AATCATCCGTTCGCCCTTTAGGTGGGCTTCAAAAAAAAAAAAAAAAACAACATCAAAACAAAAAAAAAAGAGAGCTCCAACCCTCTCCACATCCTCTCCATTACTCTAGCCGTTCGTTGCGCAAGCACAGCGGCTCCTCAAGATCCGAGACGGATCTTCTCCGAAGCGAAGGATGTAATGGCAACGTGCAGTAATAACTATTCTATCGCCGGATATCGAGAAGGTTATCAACATCGTACTTGTATAACGTCAACAACGCGGCAACAACGACAACGACGCTGACACGATGCTGTGCAAACTGGTGCCAGGCACAATTGTTTCATATTTGTAAATGATACCGCGATATTAATTGTGTATAATGTCTTTGATCGAGGGAGTTGGAGCTTAATTAATTTTGGGCTCACATAAATACCTTAGCCACCAAGCAGTGGACGGACGGATGGTTGGCCGACTCATTTTTTTTTCCTGAATTTCATTTCTTCTATGAGATTTCTTCTCTCCCTCTATAGCTGTCCTTTTCTAATGCATCTTGTAGGTTAGATTTCTTGTAGTCGTCTTGTAGGTTGTAGACCTCTGCTTGTCTAATAAATCTTTAGTATTAATCTCTAGTAGTTAGGCCCCTCTAGCCGCATAGTTAACCCCGGGGCCAATCCTATCGAACTCGCGAGCGACAAATACACCTCCGGGGTTACAAAAGTCCAGGTAGTATGATTGTGATAGAACCATTGGTAATTAGTGTGGTTTGATCCAACCTTTCATTCTAAGCCATTTGATATGCACTGTTCCATTAAGCCAAAAAAAACTTTGCTATATTCCTGCATTTACTTATCTCAGTGCTTCGAATTGTCCTACAACAGAATATCAAACGGTATAATATTAATTTTCGTTCTAAACATCAATAAATATTATTAACACCAATAATTACTGATATTTAGCACAAATATGCTATTTCCAGCACTAAAAGAAAAGACCCTAATCCCTCTACATGATTTACAATTATTGTCGTGATCACTAGATGTGTGATTACAGGGTCTTCATGTGTCTCCAATACGTTTTAATATGCGCGTCTACCGGCGGATGGAGAAAGCTTGGGGGTAGACATCAATTTAGTCTCTAACCACTTTAGGTCTCGAAAGCAGGGTGGTCTTTGAAAGAGGCCGTCGACACTCGAAATGAGATTGGCTTACTAACCTGCTAACAACAAACATCAACTAGTTAGGCTTGGGTCGAAAAGAGGGAGAACGAGTGGCTAGTGGTGTGAGGCGCCGTTATGATCAGATCGGATCCAGATTCGATCCCACCCTGGGAGACCAAGCCCTCTATCCTCTGGGAACTGTAACTTGGTACTAGTGTAATCTTGGATGATAAAAGCAGTAACTTGGTAATCGGCTGGCCCTCGCAAGTCATCGTAAAAAGGCTCGCACGCATTCAGTAATATCTGCTGCATGACGAAGGCGGTTGCCCAAATAGGTTGAAGGCTGTTGCGCACGCGGCGCGCGGGCAATTTCCAGCCACGGGGCGCGCGCACACTCTAGTGGATGACCGCTGACCGAGCGTGCGTGCGCCCGGTGGTTGTCAATTGCCCGCGCGCCGCGTGCGCGACAGCCTTCAACCTATTTGGGCAACCGCCTTCGTCATGCAGCAGATATTAGCCTTTTCGATTATGAAGTAGAGTGCGTTCAGCGCATTTCGGCGCATGCCCGCAGAGGTAACGAAGACGTCGGATTTATCCTTTTCATCCTAGGTTGAGAAAAGAGGAAACATGGAAGCTTTATGTAATCTTAGATTAGCTGCAAGAGCCATAATCGGCTCCAGCTATATGAACTGCTCCAAAGTACTGTAGCTACGTTTAAACAACAAGCGAAGCTAAATTAACGTGCTTTGACCATCTTCTGAAACCCTTACGAAAATTCCAAACACTTGAAGTGAAAGCACAACATATGGACGGGACACCAAGAAATAAGAGAAAAAGGGAAAGACTCGCTGGCGGATACGGAACGCTCCAAAGAAAAACAGCCGTTCATCTCAATTAAGTGAATTTCTTACTATAAAGACAATCAATGGGGGACGAGTGCGTAGTGGTATGAGGCGCCGCTATAACCAAATCGGACACAGGTTCGATCCCCGCTCCTGGGCCAACCAAGCCCTCTACCCTCCGGGGCTGGTAAACTGGTACCAGAGTAATCTGGGAGGATAAAAGCACTGACTTGGAAACGGCTGGTCCCCGCAAGTCACTGTAATAGGCTCGCACGCATACAATTGCCTCTTCGACCACGTAGTTAGTGTGTGCGTTCGGCGCATGCCCTCAGAGGGTTGAAGACGCCGAATCCTTTATCCTTTTTTTTTATTTTAAGACAACCAATCAGACCCAATCATATGATATGCCATTCTCCAGCAACGGATAAACGAAAAAGAGGAAACTGCGTCATGTACGAAACATTCACGACAGACCCATCGGTGAGCCGTATGTTTACTGAAGTAGTGATTTTGTCGTTTCAACGAAACATGAAATTTGGACGCGTCCTTGGGAACATCTGGGCGAGCTCCAGCTACCGTGGTCTGGTATTGTATACTGTACGCTGTTAATAGATATACCGCAGACAAGGGACAAGCACAGCAATAAAAAAAATCTTTCAAAGTGATACGATTTCCCCGTAATGAGCGCGCATACAAGATAAGATGGTCAAGACACAGTCGAGTAGATTTTCCGTTTAATATAATATGTGGCGACTCGGTGGGCTCTTGGCACCTAGATGGAACCCGAAGCCTGATGCTCGCCCGATACTAAGCGACGTACCTATCCTACTGCGCGCCTAATGCACGACCAAAAGAAACATTAAATTGATTAAGTAATTTATCCTTACGACATCAGACTACAGTTATAATATACAAAAGGTATACTAAACTGAAAACAAAATTACTACTACTAAAGAAACACGAGATGAGGGGCCGTGCTACCGATGCGCGTCTATAAACAATCTCAAAAATACATGAGGCTCCCGAGATTTCGCGCAAGAAATCCACCGCGCGACGCCAAGGTATAGACAACGGCACGTCCCCTCCAGCTCCTGTAGATGTTAATGTTTCAACTCGACATGCAATTCCGATAAATACTACGGCGCGTCGAGATGCGCTGACCAAAAGAATTCATTCTCCAATTCAAAGAACATCCGGCTTGACTGCTCTTACAGAAAAGGACAGGAGCATAGCGGCTGAAAGGATATTCAAGAAATGAAATTGATCGATCAAACAAAGACGAATAAGGGCACCCAAGTGAGGCGCCGCCGCTTTATATAGCCGCCTGCTCAGACACTCGCTGCGGCGGCGGGCGCGCCATAATAGCGCTACAGTGCGAGCGGCGCGCTCTATTTGATGCTGCCGTGCGAGCGGCGCGCCCTATTTGAGGCTGCCGTGCGAGCGGCGCGCCACAGTTGAGGCTGCAGTGCGAGCGGCGCGCCATCGTTCGCAGCCGACGAGCGGCGCGCCTTATTACGGCCGCCGGCGCGCTTATTCGACACTCGGCGCGGCGGCGCGCGCGCCACTATAACACTGTATTGCGAACGGCGCGCCCTAGTTGAGAGTGCGAGCGGCGCGCAATCTATCAGTGAGTGGCGTGCCATGATATCTTCCGCATTTTCACACGCTGTAAGCACAAGCGATACCTGCGTGAAGTACGACGCAGTGTTTTGGGTGCTTTATCGCCAATTCATTAAGGTTATCGCTGTTTCGCAATGAAGTTGTCTCATTAACACAAGTGGGATTCTTTTAGTTCTTCCATTGAGACTCAGTCCTCATAAGCACCGCGAGTAGGTGCCGAGTTTGAATTCAAGTTTGGGAATTTGAATTTTTGAATTTTTGAAATTTGAATTTTCAAATTTCAAAAATTTGGAAACTTCGGAAACTTCAAGTTCATATTTGAAACTGAAGCCATTGTTTGCCTGAAAGTGAAGGTTGTCATCAGGTCTACCACAGATTCACCGTGATTCGCAGTGCTTCAAATGCGAATGGCAATTTTCATACCGTGCGAGCGGCGTGCCATTATCGTATGGCGCGCGTCCCATCTATTCACGGCGCGCGTACCATTTACTCGCGGCGCGCGTGCCATCTACTCGCGGCGCGCGCGCTATTTGACGGCCGGCGGCGGGCGACATGAGGGGCCGCACGCATAAGACGCGCGCGCCGCCGCAGCGAGTGTCTGAGTGGCTGGCAACGGTCCGGAGACGATCGCGGCAACACGCGTCTCGGCTACCGTAATCGTCGCCGGATAGCGCGGTAAGCGATGCCCACGGCCTCCGTACTTCGAGGAGCGCCTTGCATCGCGAGACGCGACATGATGTGCTTGCACAGAAGGTGAAATGCGGGAAAATTTGCGCATGATCAAATAGTTCGGCTGTGACGCCGGTCAATTGCGCGCCAAATGCCGGCAGTACTGGCGTGGCTATTTATTCACGCGCAAATTAAACCGCATTTCACATTCAGTGCAAGCACACCATGTTAAGCGGAAAATCTACTCGATTGTACTCATGCTTCATGCATCCTAAAACTTATTGATTTCTCCAATGTTTGTGGTACCTCACATTTTTGCATCCCATGAAGCTGCAATCCTGTACACAAAGGTTTCTTAGCTTGCTCATTGCGAATATAAGCAAACGGACATTACCAATTCTTTGAATCGATTTTTGACTTTCGCGAAAATTCTGCCGCTAGAAAAAAATCCTAGTCCCACTGCAAAACCCTAGTGAACAAAATGGTTGTTATAAACACGATCAGAACGTGAAACAACCCCAAATTACAACTCCGCGAGAATGTGATGTTGATCTTGCAGCGAATGGTTACCGTAAGCTAAGTATGAGGCCAAGATTTTGAATGTTATCCTTCGGGAAGAGCATCTTCAGAGCCCCTCCCGTGAGCAAACTTCTGGACAGATAAAAAAGATCTTCCAAAAAACGCTACTATTTCAAACTTATACCTGAGCCTAACGTTGCAAAATATCGATTCTCGTAAGAGATGGAAAGAATAGCAGGTCGTGAGGGTAAGACTGCGAGGAATTTACTAGAGATCGGATAACTGATGAAAAAGAAAACAAAATGCAAACAAGATGCCTGTAAAGAAAGCAAAAACTGTACTCGTACATATGGGAAATCTGATAATAAGTCAAACAACACGTATTACGATGGTTTAAAGGGTGTGAAATTTGCGAAAAAGATAAAGCTAATAGGTAGTTATGTCTCCATTGCATTAGAATTCATAGCACCGAGGTATATGTCCATAAATGCAACAACAAATGCCTCCAGATGTATGATCGCTTTTTGTCCTCTTGTCAGCCTGTGCTCGTACAAAGCTGCCATTTCAACCGTTTCCAATATAGCAGACTTCGGAGCGCGCTTGATTAGATAGCGCAGTAGATACTGCAATTAGAGAAGTTAGAATGATATAGCTGTTGTCTTTCTAACTTACAGCGAAGATGACTTTCGGTTGAATGCAACGAGAAATGAGCTCATACAGACGCTCCCTCACCTAAATACCAGATATAAATATAAACTGCTTGAGCCTTAGCTTTCACTCAAAAATGAGGTATGATATAATATTATTTGACTTAACAAGGCTGCTTTGTGGACGGTTCCATGCCCAAATTTTTCCAGTAATTAGACATTTCGTTACAGTTATTTATGCTTAAAACATCCTAAGGCGTATAACAAAACAGCAGAGCAAAGTACCATCTCAAGCCTATGAAATAGTATTCATCGCATCCCAAATTTAAGTCGACAACACATCTTCACCGAGAAAAAAAATCTGAACCAAAATATTGACCGGGAAGTGAATCGATTCCATCAAGTAGAATTATATATATGATATCCCCACACTAACAGCAATTGGGTCTTCACCTTTCGCCTTTACATAAATAGATGTTTCACGAAAATTGGATGCATCTTACTCAGAAGATCTATCAGCATGCTATTACAATAATTTCACTCTACTGAGGGAAAACTTTCCCGCGAAATGGGAGGGGGGGGGGGGGGGGGGGATAATGGCTTTTGCCTTTCTTGATCACACGATAAGAGTTTTACGCATATGATAACATGAATGCAACTAGCATGTTTGCGCTGCAGGAGAGAGCAAAGAGACTGAAGAGAGAGCAGACAAGGAGGCCGTAGGCGTGACGCGAAACTCTAGCAACGCGGACTCTCGCCATGCCAATTTTGGCCTGACTGGGAGTGGGACAGACTGTAAAGTAGGAAATGACGTGACCGTGCAAAAAACTGTTAGTATTTGCGGAACAGATCCTTCAACATCATTCTCGGAAAAAATCTGATAACCTTCAACACAGTCACAACTGGGCCAATTTCTCGATATTTGCTATTTCAGATCAGAACATATATTGTAATCTCAAGATCACAATCCACAGAAGTGTCAGTGATATTCTGGGAAGTAATCCAAAATACAGTTTGCCCAGTTTGCCCACAAATCGTCGTAAATTAGCAAAATTAGAGCTTTAGAATGCATAACCCGCCGGTTGATCGGATTGTCGTGCATATGTTAAGAATTTTGTCGTCCTGCCCTTCCCCCCCCCCCTCCTATCCTCTTTAATTGAAGATTTTCTACGAATGCCACTGGTGGACGGGCTTTGTGAAACACTCTCAAGGAACCGCTCGGGTGACAAGACGGTGCTGCTTTCATTGTTGATCCTCGTTACACCTTTTTAAGACAAATCTCCGCAATCACTCCTCCGCTAGAAGCTTTTTCTTCAAATATACATGCTTTATCAATTAGTTCTTCAATTAATGCAAATGTTATAATGGCGTCTTTTCTTCCCTTCAACTGACAATCCAAAATAGCAACCTTCATATTTTGAGTGACGTCAGAAGCTGTGCCGGGCTATCGTGACTGCTACAATAATTCAAATTTACCCTTGCATCAAAAACCATTTGCTCTCGTAGACAATGGTTGTTCACACATAATGCCGTAGCGATTGCCAAACTACACAAAATATCTCAAAAAATTTCCCGAGTGTATAATCGTTGAACTGTATTCGGACCATACTGTCGAAAACTGTCGTCAGCTTAAAAGTAGAGTTCAAAACATAAATCTGATGCTACCGTAGGAGCACACTGGCGCGGTGATAAAATAGCCGCAAATTTTTCAAAAGGCATCATAAATTTTGTAATGAATTTTTGGGCAATATTGAAGATATAATTTACAAAAATTGGTAGGGATTTTATAAAGCATTGCCAAATGTTCTTGACGACATCTGAAAGTACCGTTACCGTGGACCGCGTCCTTTGAAAGGAGAAATTACTGCCATATATAGGGTGTTCCAAAAGTAAGGCACACTTTTCAATCGTCAGTATCAATATCTCTCTTCCCAATGAGTCTTTTTTTTTTGCCAATCAAGTACCATTCTGTAGAGGAGGCTTCAGCTTAGATTTACGGTATTGAGCGAATCACCGATCGCTCTTCATTACTGCAGGAACTTTGACAAGGATTTTAAGCCATTGGAAGCCATATTCTGCCTCGGAACAAAAACAAAGAAGCCAAAAACTTTTGTACTATGGTAATAAAAGCCGCTGATTTTCACTTCTTTACTGTGATGCTTCTTTCTAAAATTATCCCAGGTAGACCGTAATAACCGAATTTCCAGTATTTGTCAGAAATGTGATTACACCGTCAATAAGCTGAAAACACCCGTAAAAAATCAATGTGTAAATCAGCGTATGCGAAAACTCTAGTACACGACTTTTCAGATTTTTGAAAGAAAAATGTTCTCAGATGGATATTTCACAATGGTTCCACATGCTGGAAGTTCTTACCGTAATCCCACACCAAGAAGAGTGATCGGTGATTCGCTCGATAGTGTAGATCTAAGCTGAAGCCTCCTCTACAGAATGGTACTTGGCTGGCAAAAAAATATCCATTGGGAAGAGGGATATTGACGATTAAAAAGTGTGTACTTACTTTTGGGACACCCTGTGCATGAGAATGAGCTTAAAAATGAGCTTCTTCCAAAGCTTTTCAGGTCCGCATTCAGTGGAGAATACGTGCAAGTGAGTGGTGCACGGAACGAGGGAGGGGTGGCGCGGATTACTTCCGGCGTATCTTCACTGAATGCGGATCTGGAAAGCTTCGGAAAAAGCTCATTTTTGCCAATTTCGTACGCTGAAAAGCCCATATGTGGATTCCTTATGGGGAAAATGCTCTGAAAAAGTGAGAGACTGGAAAACGAAATTCTGCCGAAACACTGGCTCAAACCCTTGCATCATCATCGCAGTATTCTTCGACTCATAGCGGCACAAGACCCTATTGGAAAATACCGTATTCCTACAATGATGATAAAAGATGAAGTCGTTTTTAGATTTACGCTGAAACAAGCCCTTCGTTACGGTATTGAAAAATCCACGGAGGCTCTTGTGACAAGAGTTATGAAGGATTGAGCACTCATTACATTTTCCGGCACATGCTCTATGAAAATGTGCTCTCAAATCATTTCTTTGGTCAGTTCAATGCACGGTGGAGAGAATTGCCGCAGAAGCTTACCGCAAGTACAGTTTCATTGTTCTGCTTTTTCAACATGAGTTCAGCAGTCTCCTGAAGATAGGTCTCCCATTCCGGTTCAGGCACCTTCTCATTATCTTTTATCGGCACGCCTTTTCTTTTCACTGCTTCCATCGACAACGAAGCACGCCGAAGGTTTCCTCGAGACTTTGTGACTATCTACACAAACATAATCAGATGCAATATTAGACACCAAAAACTTTACCTGTTCCATGACGGGATCAGGTACGGTTAGTCTTACTTTCTCAGCAACAGACTGACAAACATCTCGGATCTAAGAAATATTCTATTGACAAAAGCATAACCCTACAATTGATTATGCACACCTCCTCGTCCGTAGGAGCAGCAACTCGTACGACCATGCATCTCGACCTCAGAGGTTCAATTATTCGACTGAGCGAATCGCTGCAGAGGATCAGCCGACAACTCATCGTATACTTCTCCATAGTCCGTCGAAGTGCGTGCTGAGCATCGCGTGTGAGCTGATCAGCTTCCATTAACACAACCACTGGAATTCAGACGGATTCAGACGGACAGTGTTGAAAGATGATGAGGCGAAAAACGATGAAGATAATTTTGCATGCAAAACTTAGAAGCGAGACAGATTCCTTTAACGATATAGATTAAAATTGAGTAAATTAGAAAGACATGCTGTGTCACGTATTGCAAAAATGTCCCTCGGTTACATGATTCTAAATGTTCAAAAATGCACTGTCAAACGCGCAAGGCGATATATAACCTTGATAAAAATGATCTATAAATTGTGATTGAGATGCACTCTACTCACTTTTGAAATAATAAAAAGCTTCATGAGTACAGACTCATAAATGTGAAAATATGTTCCAAAAACTACCAGCTAGAACTCTCACTCAACTAATTACTTCTTTCATACAAACTTGATGTTAAACTTGAAACTGAGTGAAGAGAAACGCAAACTTGGATTTCCGGTTTGAGTCCTACATCTTTCAAGCATTCCTGTCTTTTATTCTCATCTTTTTCACTAATGCTCGGGAAACTATTCAACAGATTATAGCAAGCTCTATACGATGGTCTCAAAGCACAAGAAGCTGACACAAACTATAAACTATCGGATTACACCAACAATGATCTCCAAAAATCTCCTCGTTTCACTTGCACTTCACATATTGTATGATGACTGAAAGAGCACTTTCAGATGCATTGAAATAAATAAAAAAAATAAATAGATAAATAAATTTTGTCCAGCAATTCGTCGGAAATTCTCGAATACCAGTTGCAGTACTATTCTTTGATATCAAAAGAAAGAAAATGATGTTGATCGTTTAGATATTTAGTTGAATTTGAATTCTGGAATCAAGTAAAAGGGTAACAAGTTCAGTCGCGCTTCCGAAGGTTTGCACTATAGGGTGTTCAGATGCACACTGTTAAATCACTAATAACTCTCTTGCTTTCTTGTCTTTCGCAAAGCTTGAAGTACCATTCTGTAGAGCGAGGTACTTAAACTCACAGTATGGAACAAATTATCAATCACTTTTCGTTACTTAAGGTTATGGTAAGAGCTTCGGAAAGGATTGAAGTAAATTGAAAGCGATTTTTGCCTTAGAAGGAAAACCAAACAAGCCAGAAATCCTGTACTGAACTAATCAAAGTCGCTGATTCTGAATATGAAATTTGCGCTTCACTTAATGCTTCACATAAGTTATTTCAGGTTTAGGGTAACACCAGCTTTTCCAATGTCCGTCAGAAGTGTGATTAGACCATCAAAAAGGCTCGAAAAACTGGTAAGACGTTGTGCAGTGAGATCAGCACGTCTGAAAACCTTGCTACACAAATGTTTAGATTTTTTGGAACTTTTTTGATCAGAAGGCCTATTTTGCAGTGCTGCTGAAAGATGTATGCTGAAAGTTCATAGCGTAATCCAATGGTAATGAAGAGTGACTGGTGATACTCTATATACTGTAAATCTACGTTAATCGCTATACAAAATGGTATCTCAAACTCGGCCAAAGACATGAAAACAAGAGAGTTATCAATGATCAAACAGTGTGCACATCTTTTTGAGACACCCTGCATATGACTATCATTCTTATTTGAAAAGCTCAGAAATACTTTAGCCAGCCAGTTTTTTGATCTATTAGTTTAGCCAAGAAAACATATTGCAGCTGGATTTGCGTATTTTACGGTGGCGGTCCTACGACGTCCGTAGGGCGGGGGGGAGGGCGGCAAAAAATTTTTGAATAAAGGTGCGCGACGTTCACTAAGCAGACCGAAAATTTTTTGGGATGCTTTCCAGAATCTTTCCCTGCCCACAGTCACCAGGCACAATTCTATAACGCATGTAAGTGACTTTCAAAACGCAACCTCTATGGTGCTCCCTCCCTCCCCCCCCCCTCGGTCCGCACTGGTATCTCATCTGGGTAGTCTGTATATGAGCAAGGGATAGTCCGTAGGATTTCCAAAACAGAGAGATGTTTGCAATATATGCGTGCCTATAGAGAAACGTAATTTATTCGTACCAACATACTCCTTTCACCCAAACCGGCCAATCATTGAAGAAATCAATGTATTAATGGAAGAGAAGTAAAAATTTTCAGTCTAAGGTAGTGCAGCAAAGTTTGATTTTGATTTCGTATTTTTTTTAATCCCCTAAGTCCCCTCCCCCCTCCTACCCTCTCCGAAAAGTCGCGAATTTCTTGAAAGTGGTCTAAATAAGATGGGAATGTGCAAGTGACTTGTAGATAGTATCTCAAGTTTTTTTCTTAGATTCTAATTGGCGTTGTAAGAAAATTTTTGATGACGTGACTTCGACCTCTCTTTTGATCTTACAGGAAGCTGAAGTACAAAAGCCATATTTCACAGCGAGCTAAATGACTGCTCAGCAATAATGTGGACAATGGAGCTTCCCCACCTTTGAAGCTCTTTTGCGTAGCACTCGCAATTTGTGTGGTTTGCGCCATTTGCTTGATGACTTCTTGTACCACAACTCGATCATATATGCCCACTTCACTAAATAACAATTATCAACCGTTGCCTTATACTTGGTAGTCTATATGAACTTACCCCGGATTGATCTCGATGTGATAATTGCTGCTTACTGTATCTATCTCAATTTTACGGTTAGAAGGTGTGGTGAGAGACTTTTTGTCAAGACGTAAGCGTTCTGCTCCAGCACCATATAGCTCTCTGAACATGGGTAGTGCATTCAACTCCTATATCTTAATTTTGTTTACCGAAGAATACAGTGGATTCTTGTTCGTTTTCCTGCGCCGGTAGGGCCATAGACAAGAAGATGAGGAAAGTCTTCTGTTTTTACCAGTTCGGCTAGATCACTAGCCTAAAGTTTTAACTGAAGAATCGTAACAATTAGAACGGCTGAGAAACGAACCTGTTCCAGATGATATGTGAGCTCGCTCAATTTCTTTGGACGATATCTATCCACCCAAAGACTCATGTTATCTCTGAAACCATTTTAACGCGAATTTTTATCAATTTTCGCCTTCACTGCTAAAGATAACAAAAGAACTCAATATCTTCAAAGCAAAACCTATTGAGTAGCCTCTATCATTTATTGAAAGCCCAGTGATATGTAAGATTTTGTGAAGGAAATGTGAGATCGATAAAAATCAAGGTATGTTTCAATGAGTTCCGATAAGTGATATGAAATACGGTCTCAAAAACCATAAATTATCAAATAACAAGATCATATTCCTTGAACAACGCATATGTACTTAAGAGCACTAGGGAACCGCTTACAATGATGTGTAAGCTGAGGTGTATAGCTTGAGCATGATTAAGCAGATTATTCTAGACATGCGAAATTAACGAAATATAAACGAAAGAATAAAACAGACACGCTTTAATACGACTCATTAAAATGGTGAAAGTATAGCCAGTGAACTGTCAGTTCGACAAGCACTCCACCTGGACGTGCAACTTCACAGAGCTCCTTCCTTATCAAAGACCTCGTGGTGTCTCCCACGTTTGAGTAAGGTCACCCTCATGATGTTTTTCATTTGCCCTTGCTCATTCAATCCTTCTTCGTAGTCGACTTTAACATTGTAAGTGTTAACCATCATCAGGCAGGCAAGAAAGTATCGACTGATTTCGTAACGTCTTCTGCCATCCATCAGCTGAAAATCCGCAGATGAGTTTTTCTGATTATAAGATTAATATGTCCGAATGGGTAAAGTGGTATAGTGGAGCGAGTCTGTGAGATGAAGTAAATTTGAGTTCTTTGAGTAAATTTGAGCTCTTTGACAGCTCAGTTAAGGTTATATAAAAACATGATCTTCAGATAGCAGCATCTTGTATGATAGTGGCAAAGGACCACCATGAAATATCGCTTCACTTGTGCAAATATGGTTTTACTCTTCTAATACTCTTGAATCATTGCATAAAGGAAGAATGTAAGAAGAGCGATACAATCTTTTTGTTCACATAGAAATAACGAGAGACAAGCAAGGTGGACAGAAGATCTGAGATCTTCGCGATTTGCAATTAATAGTCTCTTAGAACAACTATTCAACTGGTATGAACCAAGACTTGCCTCATCCATGGTTTTCGTTTCGCCGACTTCTTTAAACATGGACAACAGTTCATTGCCGTACTCATGTATGTCAAATTCTTTCCTGGTTTCTTCCTCTTCAAGTATAGGCATCATAGTATCCTCCCATTCCTGAACGCGAGTCACCAACTCAGAAGTTATCTCTTCGGTAGTAGACCAGAATCTAAACGATTTGATTAGCGATTCTAAATTAGCATGAGAGAAAAATGACAAAGCGATCTTACTTCAACATGTGCTCGCGAAGAATAGCCAAAAGTCTATGTTTCTTTGTTTGATGAGAATGTTCGTCATTTACACCTTGACTCTCACCTGGCTGAAACCCTAAAACAGAAGCGCATTTCAGCTGTGCAGTAGTACATATCATCTAATTTCTTAACGGAGCATAAGTACGTATTATATAAGACAAAATCGTAAAGACATGGAAATGTGAAGCATGTTAAGAAATTCAGCGAACTTAAGCGAAGGCGCTAAACAATAACAAGTGCAAGTGGCAGAATTATGGTAAATCAACAATGCCGACCAAAACAAAGTTACATTTTTAGACATACCTCCATAAAGAGAGTCAATATCTATAGAGTTCTGCAAGTCATCGTCTTGAATATCTCCAAAGTGGAGTTGCTCTACATAAGCACTTTTTTGAGTTTGTACAGCCTGAATCGGAAACATCGAACATCACACCAGCTCAAGTAAGAAATGCGATACCATTGTGACATTGTCCGTTCCCTTCCCTGCTGTTTCTGCAGTACATGTCTCTCCGGCAACCTCTTTCGGAGGGATATTTTCTTTGTTCTCCAGCTCCTGTTCAATGTCATCGTCATCGCATGCATCGGCAACATCATCTTCTTCATCATAGACGGCTGCAATTTTGATTAAAGACATGATTGTTATGTTGATGAAAACCATGGAAACGTGACAAAAAAAAACTACACAATCGGCTACCACGGTTCAACGATAAATGTGCACGTTCTGCATTTGGATGATTGGATATATAACCCTATTTAAGGCATGACTATAATTGACGAGTGAGATCACCTTCTGGTAAGCGCTTAGCTCTCGCTTTCTGTTCCCGCTTTGCCTCTGCCCTCCTCTTCATAACGGCAATGATAAACCGATACAGAGCATCTGATTGCTGAATGAACACTTATGCATTCAGAACAATGAATATGTAAGAGTTCTACCCAATCATCGACTTTATCGGTGGCTTTGTGTTTTTTGCGCATATAGAAATGCTCTCTAACGTAATCATTAGTCTGCATGGTTTGCTTCTGTAACGTCATCGTCGCCCTCTCCACCTAAACACTAATGTTCAGAGAAACCGAAAGATTCCAGAAGCAACTTACCTTTTCCAGTCTTGAGGCTATCGTAGTTCCTTTAACAAAACGTTTAATCTTATCGACAGGTTTCGTCTTCCACTTAGAGTTCACAAATGGATCCATCACAAGCTTCTCAGTGGGGTCATCTTCATCGTCGTCAACATCTTCCCACTAACGTAAGAAAATCTTATTTCATAGAATGATGAAATAGCCAAACTCACTGGCTTCTTTTCAACCCGTCGTTGCTCTGCTCGGGAAGGTCGTTGGGCTTCATGATCAGGAACTGGAAGATGCATGCTCGCTGCAGTATCGAAGTCATCGTAACAACCGCCTCCATCGTCGTCCACTCCGTCAACTTCCATTTTTTGCGATTCCGCAATGGGCGTTTGCAGCAAACGAGTGCTAGGCCTAGACATGTTTTTTAGCGTACTTCATCTGTCTGCTCTCCTGCGACAAATGTGCCTTTTGGTTAACAAACTTTTTACTGCTTTTACATGATGGCCAACAGTGATGAATAATTTCCGAAAATTTTACATAAATGAGTATTGAACGAAGTCAAAATCACATCATTTTGGTGCCAAAAGGACTTCAGCAGATATTGTTGTGATAGAATAGCGGAAAAACGTTTTGAATCAAAGATAAACGGAAATTCAAAGGCTTCATCAAATTAAATAGAAATTACCTCGCTGACTGCAAATCATTAGCGGTGCTAGATGTAGTCCGCCTAGCAACTTCCATAGGACTCGATCCTCGACCATGGTCAGCCGCACTTTCAATGCCTTCTGTGAACGTGTTCATATATTACTGTTCCCTGTTAGCTTCAATAAAGCAATCTATTCACCCATAGGAGTTCCTCTACCAGAATCCGGAATCGGTGATTGTGACTGCAGAGGATTCTTCGGCTCCTCTTTTTTGGCAAAAAGGTAAGGATGCCATAACCGAAGGAATGCTTCGCTGGCAAAATCGTCAACGATCTTGTTATAAGCTAATTGCAGCAACAGCACTCCCTGAAGAGATAAGTAATGCTGCTTCCCACTAACGGATATCATATAAGCAATGAAAGCGAGTGATATGAAACAGCACTAATATGGTTAGAGTCAACCTTACCGTACGCTCTGTATGCTTACCAGCTCCGAGCTTCTGCGCAGAATGTAACAGAAACTTACTCTGCTATTCAGAAATCCTGAGTTCATTTTGAAGTCATCCATTTTCCCTACGATCTCTTTGCGGTAACCAGTGGAGTAGATCAACACTCCATTCTTTTCATTATCAGCTAGTGGCATCAAGGACATCGGCATCACAGTGATCTTTGGAGGTTTTCCATGGTATTTCGACTCTAGAAAGTACTCATTTTCACTATCATAGATAAAATGAGATCAAACTCACTGCAGAAGTCCTTGTACAGAGTATTCACATTACATACTTTGGTGTTAGAGTAATCCAAAAGATCACATGGATCCAATGGTACACCATTGTCATCCTCGTAACCTTCGTCTTCATCTCCTCCTGAAAGCTTCGAAATCTCGCACTTCGAAACAACTATAGTTTGTTTCACGATTATGTGAAAAATACTACAGGATGAAATACTTGAGTACTCCTTCTACAATAGTGTCGCATATCACGTACTTGATTTGACTGCAAAACATAGATACATATGTACATTAACATACGAACCTTTCTTTTTCTTCTTAGTTTTGTGCGACTGCAGTGCTTCGAAAAAGTGAACAGCTTGAGAGTGAACGTAATCGACTTTCCTCCCGAACACAAACGCCGATCCTTGGATGAGCATCGCTGCTTCGGCGAAATTAAATCTGAGGTTCAAAGAATCAGTAGCAGTTGTTATATTTTATGCAATGAATTCTAATCTAAGCACTTATCGTGATTTACCTGTGCTCATTATTGACATCATGCTCCTCGTCGTCAGCAACACTTTTGAGTTCCTGACAATAATCATCAAGTTGCTTCGCGATGTCAATCTCAAAATTCTTGCCAAGGTCCTTCAGTGGACGTAAAAGAAACGCATAACGTTGCCCCGCGCCTTCGAACTCGTCACCCATTCGCCGTTAGGACGTGACTTGGTCTAAGCTTAATGTGCTTGAATAAAACGATTTATATTTGACTGGAGGAAGTAGATAATATAAAAAGCGAGTACGCCTTTAAAACCAGAACGAAGGGTCAGTAGCAATCTTTATTAGTAGTTCCTATATAGCTGAGCATTGAGAGTGAGAACTCATCCGACTTGAGGTTTCGACAAAACCCGTTTGAGTCTAATTCTTCTTCTCAGGTAGAGATAAACCAACAAGCCTTGCACTTTCTTCTACCGTTCGTTCACCACCTTTGTAACGCTCCTCAAGTTTGATCAATTTTCGTGTACTGAAAATGACTCGAACATAGGAAACGAGCGATACATTGCTGAGAGTCAGTTACCTCGATAAGTATGTCGCGTAAAGATTGGCAACATGTTCAGCCTCCTGCGGCGCTTTGGAATAAATTCGTTGGGTTACTTGATGGTCTCTTAACTGATCTACAAGGTACTTGTACTGGGGAGAGTTCCTCGTAAAGGTCTGAAACTGAAGTGACTGATTGAAGAGAAGTTAATAATTATAGTGAACGCTGGCCATCGTATGCCAGTTCTGATATTATTAGTTACCAAAAGGTTTGAGAACGGTCATACTTTACTGAATCGGCGTTAAAGTCAGTCTCACTCTCACGCAAGCGATGTCCAAGATTACTGTGGTTTTTTTACTATGCTCTATTGTGAAGGAGAATCACCAACCACAGACAGAAATTGAAAAGTGAGATTTTAAGAGCAAAAACAGCAGTAACGATACAGACTGGAGTAAGAAAGAAATCGAAAAAATGCGTGTTGCATTTCAAGCTTAAGGCCGATGAGGCTTTAGTTTTTTATAAGTGTTCCTTCATGAATCGTTCGCAAAGATAGTGAAAGAAAGAGTCGCATACATCACCAAGACTCAACGGTTATTGCATAAACGAGTTTACACTGTAGAAAACAGATGAAAAACGCATACAGCGACAGCTTACCTTATCAGACTTCCGCAACTCGCTTATAACTCGTCGAAACGATGCGAAAGCAGATTTCTCCGCCACCGTTGCCATTGAGTTGCCTTTAAATCAGGAGCATCTAAGGGAAAAAAAGATGTAATAACGATGTCGAGACCGTAATGCCTTGACAAACAGCGAAGTTTCATTCTTAAACACATTTTCAAACAGAATCAAGTAAAAAGTGAAGTGTTCACATTTACGATGAAGGAATTATCTCCTTATGCGATGTGTTTCCGACAATTCCCCCAGAAACACAGCAGATACGGGAAGCATAGTTGATAAGCAAGAAAACAGCTGCTCATCAGTACATGCAACATAAACCACAGGACCAACCAAGAACAATGGAGCAAGACGAAAGAGCAGAACAACTTCAACTGGTTTGATGTAAAAGTAAACAAGGTAAAGAAGAAAAGAAAAAGATTTATGTGATTCAAATTACACTATAGTAAAAGGTGTGGTTCAAAAAAATTCGAATTCCCGCTTCATTGATTGCACGCAACGCCACGGTTATTCTTGACTACAGTACCCCGTTTACGCGACCTGTCGCTGGTTAGGCAGCAGCGTTTTCATTCAGCTCTTGGCATGATCTGGGGTCAAACTGGATTTCGCTCTTGGGGTGAAAAGTAAAGGGGTACGTGTTTGCAGGATCCGAGTAAAGCCTCTGAAGAACAGTCGACACGACATGCAGGTTCTATGCATTAGCTTGCTTTGATTTGATGGAAGTTTTCCTACCGATTTTGAAGTCAGAGGGGAATTCGCTAAATTTTGCGAAGTTACGAGGCACTTCGTTTTAAAAATGCTCCAAACCAACGCAAAGTTCCAAGTTCCATATGTATCGGGAGTCACAGAGACGCAAGAAAGCAGGGTCAAATCGAAGCATGCTGAATCTGGACTCGACGGCTCACTTACCCTAAATTGCCTTAGTAGAAAAATTTGCTGTTCCGTATTGAAAGATTCCATTCTAAACATCTAGCAATAACGATAAGAACCTTCGTATTCGGTAGAGGCTTTTGAGAGTAGGTCTTAAGAATCAAAGTTCTGGAAGTGGCTGCTACTTCTGCCCGATTGATGCTTCGCTAAACATCTGAGATGCCGTGAACCAGTACCATAGATTGTTTGCAATAATGGTATCTAGCATAAGCGGCAACCTCAATCTGCACATTAAAAAATGAAAGAAAACAATCAAACCAACTCCACAAAAAAATTTTCTTCTTGGTTTCTTCTCTCAAAATCACTCTCACCAGATTTTTGTCTATGTCGAGCAGTGTTTGTGCGGAAGAAAATTAACTGCTTCTATATCCGGAATTTTCACAATTTTGTTCTTGTACTTTAGGTGGGAACAAAAGGCTGACATACCAAATCTAAATACAGTCGAATCAATACACCTGAACCTGTATTATTTCAGTTAGAAGAGAATTGAAGATTTTTCGAAGTATCAGCATCCTTAAACCCTAATGCAAATTAAGAAAGGTGGATGGTCGATCTCAAAACTTTCACTCTACCCCCACAAACCTGCGCTCAAAATGCTGTTCAAAATCGCTTTCGCTTTAGGCCTAAGGCATACCTCACGCGATTCGGCCGAATCGCCACTTTCACGCGACTTGGCGGTTTGCCAAATTTGTACTAATTTATCGTGCGCGCTTCTCGAACGCGTATTTGGGTAGTTTGTGTAAGTTGTTGCAAACGGATGAAGTTCTGACCAAAGGCGGGGCATTAGCGACGAACTACGAAGAGTCGCTCTTGTGCCAAATCGCGCAGCGACCGTAATCGCGTGCGGTATGCCTTAGGCCTTAGAAAAAAAAATACAAAGAAGGTTGTTGAGCAAAAGTACAAAATTTCACGAAATACAACAGAACTTCTCCAACTTAGTAACTGTGATTCTGGTGTTGTTCAGAAGTGATCCTTCACGATCAGTACGTCTCGTCAGCTCTAGAAATATCCTTTTACGTCACTTCTGTTCAGTTTTTGCATTGAATCTATGCTATCATGGACAGAAAAGATTGTATCTATTGCTTCGACAAAATGGTCTGAGGATGGGTATTACCACCGTAGAGTTGCCGAGATATTGCAAAGTTGTAATTTGAAAAAACGATTGGTTCCTTTAGTTTACGTTAACTGAGGCTATGTGTTTGTAACATCAAAATTTAAAGCCAAAATAGAGTAATACTTTTTTACGTAACGCTTGTAAGGACGAAGATTTTCGGATGAATTGAAGAACTTTAAATTATTGCGGATTAACCTTGCGTATGCCAGATTTATCAAAATCTTTAACCGAAATGCAAGAAATAGGACTTGCTGCTTATTGTTAGTAGAAAGTTCTTAGAAAGCTCTTAATTTTCAAACACACAGTGAGATGCGGCAAGACCTAGAATTGCTCATCTAAGAAGCCAGATATGCGCCTCTATCGAAAAAAGAGCTATAGGTTTTGATTCAACCCATATATCATTTGCGAAAACTTTCCAAGTTTTTTTTCCAGAGATAGTTTGTATTTCCCACGTGATGTTAATGACCGCCTCAGCAAATCTTCACAGCTCCGCTAATGCGACTTCAGCCCTTTTGGTCCAGGGAGATTCATGCTTTGTCTATTTTCAATTATCTCTTCAGAGAGCTCTCTAAGAGATTGCGGCTACCTACAAGGCCGGGTAGAGGACATTAGGTCGCCGAAAGGGGACTTGCACGGACATCTGCAACAAATGCGCACTTCTCTTCATCACAGGTCGTGGCAGCAGTCCGCGAGGATGTAGCTGGTTGAAGACCTCCTGTCCTGTACCCCTTAAATCCATGCCAACACAGAAATATAACCACAGCAAAACGACACCACGCAGCAGACTGACAGCAGACAGGGCCCGGCACAGATCGTCTGGAAGCAGGCTGGACTTCGTTTTTAGAGCAAAATGCAAAGGAGACATCGTTTTTGACGAATCGTTGCCGAACATCAAGAGTAAGCGCTATTTAATCGAATACAAGCTTTTTGGACAGGTTACCACACGATTGACATGCTCAATCGTGTATGGCGAAAAGTGCGCGCGATTTGAAAGCAAGGCTAAAATAAACAAATTGCTTGTTTACAGCGCACACAGAATCGTTTGACACAAAATTGAACTGTAAGCATATAAAATTATTTGACGAAGAATTATGTAAAAAGTATTGGAAACTTATGTGAAGGAATACCTTTTCCAAATTTAGATCGTCTCCAGACAGCAACCAGACGATCTGAGATCGTCTAGAGCATATATTTCTGTCACTTCACATAAGTTTCGAATTTTTCTATCATGGACGGATTCCCCGGTCAAAAATCTATACCTGAGCATGAAGACATTTTTACAGCATTGCCTTTCCTTTGCTTTTTGCCTTAATTTCTTCATGAATTACTTTGTTGGATATCGCGCTCCAATGCCAAACTCTTGCGCATGTAGTATTCAGCTCCAATCTGAATTTTCACAGTTATTTCACGTTTTTTCTTTCAGATTAGTAAACCTTTCTCGTTTTTATCTTTTTCTAAGGTCAAAGAGGACTTCGTAAATTTTCTGAAAGTTAGGGTAGACTTCGTTTTCAGAAACCCGAGAAACCGACTCGTGCCGGGCCCTGTCAGCAGACAATAATTAATATCCGTTTATTGGTCAGGGATAAACACCATAGACTGCTGGTGAGAATGTCGTGACCAAGACTGGTCCAAGTAAAGCACCGTTAAAAGTGTCCATTAGCAAAAATGGTGGGGAATCTGGAAACAAAAGCACAGGTGTCGTTCTGAGCGGTATTGTTCATTTAGCATGAATAACTGAGATATCCTGGATATTGCGAAAAAGACCACCCCTGGACTTTATCTAGTCCTGATGGAGAAAGTTGCAGTTGCTTGGTATGCAAGAATCAATGAGAAGTCAAAAGGTACGATTTTGGGAGCTTATTTTTCCTCGTCCTAAGGCCACATACAAAGTGGAGGAAGCTTCCCAAGAACGTTCCACTTTAACAATTGCAAGAAACAAGTGTCATGAAAAGATACATACATGAAGGCATTGCTGCAGTTTGCTGTATCAGAAGCTAAATACATGGAATACTCAGGGTTTGCCGTAAGTTGCTTCCTACTGTAAGAAAAAAGAAAAGATTCGTGAAAAATGACTAATTACCAAGCTATATTACTCGGACAGGCGCTTGCACGGGTATCCCAAAATAAGTATTAGGTTGTCCGGAAATTAATGCCCGTTTTAAATTTCAACCGCAATAAGTCATGTATTAGGTTGGCACATAAGTTTTACAACTTACTTTGTAACTTTTCTCTTTTTGACTGTGACGCATTCATTTTCGGGCATATTGTAGATTAGATAGTAGGCTACAAACCTATGCAAACATCTTAATTTCTGATTTCGAAATGGAGAAAATGTGCTCATTTTTCGGAAGCTGGTCAAACCCGAAATTTCAAGGGTCAGAAAACCAAAAATAAAGCCTTCTCGGTCTGAATCATACATTTCAAGTTAAAACTGTACCCAGATTGTTGGTAGAAGAAACTCTAATCATCTACACAGTTTCGGCTTGATTTGTTTGATTTAGACTGAGAAAGGCTTGATTTTTAATTTTCTAGCCCTTGAAATTTCGGGTTTGACCAGCTTCCGAAAAATGAGTAAATTTTCTCCATTTCGCTACAAAAAATTGAACTGATTGCGCGGGTTTGTAGCCTACCACCTTACCTACAATATGACCAGAAAATGAATGCGTTACAGTCAAGAAGAGAAAAGTTACAAAATAAGTTGCAAAACTTATGTGCCAACCTATTACTTTTCACTTCCAAATGGGTTGCAGGATACCATTCGATAAAGCAAAGCAAGCTCTACAAGAGGGCCATCTTGGTTTTGCAACAGCTCTCATCCACCTCGAGTTTTGAGCCAAAAACTAAAAAGACTCAGCAGCCCGAAAAATCGAAAAAATCGTAATTCAGTTCATAAAAATCCTACGAAAATTCTTACTTGCTCACGTAAGCAATATCTACATAAAACATCTATTTACGCCTTTGCCGTATTTTTTCTTCTGTTAGGAATCAAGAAATCGGAAATTCGTGCATTTGTCAAAGAGGTGTTGTGCAGTTCCACATAGGTAGTTGTATACCACAAGCCTTCAGAAGTACAGACTTGAATTTTCAGCTCCAGCTTTAGTTCCCGAAAAATACCAAACATGGCTTTCCCTAGTTAGCTGACCCAAACTAAAATTCAAATTTCTCGAGAACTAAAGCTTGTAGAGAGCTGAGAATGTACGTTTGTACTTCTACGGGTTTGTAGTATACAACTACCTATGTGGGAACTGCACAACACCACTTTGACAAATGCACGAATTTCCGATTTCTTGATTTCTAACAGAGGAAAAAATACGGCAAAGGCGTATATAGATGTTTTATGTGGATAGTGTTTACGTGAGCAAGTTAGAATTTTTGTAGGATTTTTATGAACTGAGTTACGATTTTTTTTCAATTTTTCGGGCAGTTGAGTCTTTTCAGTTTTTGGCTCGAAACTCGTGTTAGATCAGAGCTGTTGCTAACGCAAAATTGCCATCTTGTAGAGCTTGCTTTGCTCTATCGAATGGTACTTTGCAACCTATTTAAAAGCGAGAAGTGCATGACTTATTGTGGTTAAAATTCAAAAGGGGCATTAATTTCTGGACAACCTAATATATGAATTTTCGAATCGCCACGTCGACAAAGCGGACTTCCCATGCAAGTGATAAGTTTAAGCAAACACTTGTGCAAATAAAGGGCAGGTTGGTTATGACCTAATGATTGGAGATGTATTCATTCATCTCGTGCCGTTGAGCTCTAGAGAACGATGAGGCAGTTCGCATTTCTCAGTTTTCATCTTCATTTCCAACATTTCCTCGAGTTAGCCTAACCCATATCACGCATCCTTAAACGTAGTTTTACCGGACCGTAAAACTAAACTTCGCAAAGATTTCGAACAAATCAGAGGTGCCTAACAAACATACCCATGGCATCCTATTATACCACCATAGCAAAACGGTTTTTCGATTCCAGTAAGAACATCTGTAAGAAACTAACTTATAAAATAGTATATAAGCCTTCCCCGTAGACAAATCCGCCCTGCAGGTAATGTCAAGGGTCTTATCCGCGTGCAGATAAGACCAGACACTTGACAACACTCCCATCTCTTAAAATAAAACAGGCTTATCTGCCACTAGAAGATTCTTGGAAAGAAACAGAGCTATACGGCACATTTTAAGTTGATACATGCTGGCGAATCCATTATTTCCTGGTTTTGCGCACATACGCCTAAAAAGGGAATGGTCAGAAGCCGAAGTGGCCAATCCATACAAGCTGCACACCATTAAATGCAGCATAAAACGCCGACGCTAAATCTGTCTCCCTCATCTGCAGAACGCTTTTGTGGACGAAATTACAAACCGTTGAAGGCCAATATTTTGCTAAGAAATTGTGCATGTAAAGTGCAAACTTGGACGTACAAAGCCATTCTCGGCTCAGTGCTGGACCAAAACATGCAACTGGGTCACTTCATATGACCCATACCTAGAGGTGAGCTGAAACAGCAATGATGTACCTAATTTCGCAATTATTGTATACGGTTTTTTCGCAGTAAAGCTGCTCATAACTTCGCCTATAAAGGCGCTCTGCAGACAGGGAAAATAGATTTGAAATCAGCATTTTATGCTGCATCGAATGGTATGCAGCTTGTATGGATTGGCCACTTCGACTTCTGACCATTCCCTTGTAAGTGTAAGTTTCGTCCCAGTCAGGATGTGCCTACTGCTGATCATTTCGATGTTCCTTGTATGGTGTTGTGGATTAACTTTATTGGTGCACACACTACGATACTGTGGCTTTTTTGGATCAAAATCCTGCAATACTATTCTTAGTACAAGAATCCTATGTAAATTCGCACGAAGAGACCCCTCGTGCATCCCCCCCCCCCTCTCCCCCAGAGAAAACTTTACTACCGTCTCTTACAGCATCGTTTATTTGCTTTGCAATCAGAAGAATTCAAAGACTTTATTGATAACAGGTTGATGAATCAGTAATGAAACATCTTGCTGACACCTGCTTCTGCGCAGTATTCACGAGAAACTCTCTAAAGCTCGAAGAAAGGGATTTCTATGGCGACGTCAGGTGTCAGATCCTACCCTTTCCCGAGGTACAACTATGATAGATGCCCACTGTAGAGATAACATTTTGGTCAGTTCCCCCCAAAATGTGTCCTTGCCTTTCTACTCACTAAGGTTCGTGCCTCCAACTAATTTTTGTTGGCCATGCGGTAATAGGTTAAGCAAGTTGGCATGTAGACGTATTCCACAGACAAATGATATCACTAAATAATAATCCTTTTATACAAGATAATCGGAAGGGAAAATGGCGATCAGAACTAGATGTCTATGTAACACAGCGCAATACATACACTCATATCAAGATCATTTGGTGGGTAGAAACGTGTAGGTGACAACGTGACGGTTCGGCACATTCACTCGATCTACCAAAATGTCGTGCTTAAACCTGAAATGCATCAATTGAACGTATTGCCAACTGAACAAAACCATGCTTGAGCAAGACTCCAAGAACAGAATGTCGCTGAGAAGCTCCGTCCAACTTGCAAGCTTAATGTCAAGAAGAAGTCAAAGCAATCGCACATGGTCAAGGGCATTCGGCAAAACTGAGAATTTTGGAATTTTGATATGGTAGGATGCTTGCTCTCCGAATAGCAAATACAGTCGCAAAGCATGTGACCTTGCCGAGAAAATGATCCTTAAACCCGAGGGCAAGCTAATCTTGTGCGCGCTCGGACGAGTTCGCATTTTCCGTTGCACTGCTGGAAGCGGTAGGCCGCAATGTTATTGTCACAGGGGTCGCAACGGCTCTGCATCTCCAACTTCGGCAGGAACTGCTCTACTGGTTCAAATTCATCACGAAGGAGGGGGGAGGGGGGGGGGGAAAGAGAACTCCGCCAGTTCGGGCCGCCTCTGCGGACTACCCTCAATGACATGTAACCACACTGCAAAAGGACCAGTTGCCAGCGGAGACGGCTCAAAACTGGCGGGGTTCGTTCCTCTACCCCACGGCCTCGTTAAATGCTCGTCTTCGCCATTTGTAAGCTTTCCATTGTGGAGTTTTGGAATCTACGATTGGAAAACCTTAGGTAAGCAAAGGATTTTTTTAGGAATCTGCCGAGCCACTTTTTTTGAACGCTCACTAGCGATTATTGATGAAGTTCTGGCTGGGAAGCAAATAGCTTCAAAAGACAACAGTATATCTTGCTTCTCTTCTAACGACACGAGACTTAAAAGACGATCACTCTCTAGCCTACCCGCACCACTTTATAAAAACGCCTTGTTGGGTACTAATCTTATAGCATGTTGAATATGCTGGAAAGATTCTGAGAAAAGAAAAAATAAGGCAGGCATCTGCGTCAGAGCACTGAAGCAAATGTTGCAACCAATTCCAATGGCACTGCTGATGAAGACGATAGAATAGGCATCAGGTCAGGTAAACAAAATTGAAGGAAAAAGCTTGGAGCGAAAACTGAATTTACCGTACATAATTCACACAGGTTTCTTACCTTGCCAGTCTGACCGTGATGGAACGTATGTGATTCAACACCACCGTGACCATATCCGCGAGGTCCAAACAAAGCACCGTAGCAACGATTGCAATATGGCTTGCCATCACGCTAAAATATTCAGTCTGTTGGAACAGTGACATAGAGATTGGTAAGGAAACAAGTCATTAGGTAACACTTGTTCTGTTTGAAATGGTCCTTGGCCACAAATATGCGAACTTTTTGCATAGTAAACAAGAGAATGCTGCTAACACCTTACATACGATAAACATGAAACAATGTGCATTTCTTGTAAAGGCATATTTACTTTGGGGTCAAGGCTCTCTAAGACTTTGGAAGCCCTAAAATTTTTCTGGAGGGCGTAGCTAATGCCCTCCAGATGAGCACGCAGATTCTGAATAGAATATGCTGCGTAGCCTATGACATTGAACATTAGGTTTTTGGACTTCAGCAAAAGTAGTTGCTAGCCTTCAGTGCGCGGTGCTCGTTTACTTTTGAAAGTTTTTATCAAACGACGCAATTTGTGTCTTACATAAGTCTGTTATGGCTACCAGTGGCCAAAAAAATTTCTTCGGTGAGGGAGGGGGACGGGAAGAAACTTATTTTGCAGTTGAAGGGGCACGGAATTACTTTTTTGCACTGAAGGGCACGGAGTTAACGTCAACCTCCGAAATTTTTTTGAGTGTTCCTTTATTTTAGCGGCTGATTTGAGACCACTTTAAAAAATTTCGCGACTCGATCTCAGAAGTATAGAATTTTAAGGATTAGTGTATGCATGAAAGCTGCGAGTTCCCAAGAATTTCTAGACAACCCCAAAGGCCGTTTCTTGAAGAAAATTTCGCTCAAGTTAACCATTCATCTGCTGTATTTTTAAGGTGATTGAGTCAATGTTTGGTCGAAGAGCCTTCTACAATGTTAAGACCTGTATTTTCGTTTGGTAACTGAATAGCTATTAATGTGTTGGGCGCCAGATATGGTTTCCTCGTTTGGAAAATTTGAGTTTTTGATAATTACCAACGGCTATGTTTTTAATTTTAGATTCAGCATTTGTTATATGGGTTTGGGGACTAGGTTAACTGTGTACCCCCTTTTGAGTTTGGCATCCGGGAAGCAGAATTGATTTCGCCTTTTTTATTTTACATTGTGCCGAGCTGAGATTAATTTTGGGGGTATTAATTTTATGTGTACTACAAATTTCGCGATCACTGCAGCTAGTGTCATACTGGCAAAATGAGCTGTGATAAATCGCAGTGGTTTGGTGAAGATGACAGTCCACAAACCCATTACAGAAAGATTGAATTCGAAGGATTGGGATTTTGGAAGAAATTCTATAAATATCATAAGAAGCCCCCTTTTGCAAAAAGATCACCACTAAAAATATGCGAAAAACTGCACACTTCTGTATACTGCCCTGCACCACTGCGTGTTTTCAAAAGACTGTCTGCTGAATATGTAAGAGTTCATATTATAAAAGCAGAAAACTGGAGGTATTTCAACAGAATTAAAAATGATGCCTTGCAAATTTCTCTATTCATACATTCGTGCAAAAACCTAATTCAATCACCTGTCATGACAGCGAAGCACAACTGTATCGCATGCGCCCTAAATTTTATTCTGGTTTCTTTGCAAGATCTTGCAACCGCTGAAACCACTATTCCAGGTCTTAGTATTAATGTGATTTCCTTGATTTAGATATGCCAATTCAAATTGATCCAACCATTACTCAGCAATATAATGAGAAAAATGACTTTGACTTTTTGTTTCTAGGTTTCTTTACGAAACATCAAATTTGAATAGCCGTGTAAAAGTAGCAATAATCTGTACTGAAGTACTCAAAATTAATAGAACATGCTCATTATATAGAAATTTCGATAATAATTAATCAAATTAACTTTCTGCCTGAAAGAAAGAGTTGATCCATTCTTTGGTATTAAAATGTTTGGTGTACATTAAAAACATGACATGCAAGTATAAGCAGCTGGAAAAATTTGAGAGAGTGATAAATTTGTCAGTGACCATGAATAGAGGAACTCACCTATTTGGAGGGTGAGGTTTTGCCTCTAACCAGTAGCCTGTATCCCCCTCCAAGACTGGGCGGGGGGGGGGGGGGGAGATCAGAATCAAAACACTATACTATTAGCTCAGGTCAACAACAACAATAATTTAAGATGTGAGCTACTCAACTGTTCAAAAAATTTGAGGTCATCGACAGGAGTAAACTTTCAGTTTCATTTTACTAATGACATTAAAACAGACAAATGTATTTGTTCAAAGTCAAAATCAGGGCTCGGCACAGGTGGCTTGAAAGCAAGCTGGATATGGTTTTCGGAACGAAAAGCAAGGGGGGTTTCGTTTTTGTGGCCGAAGAAGCACAAAAATGCGACGTTTTTTTGGTCGACGTTTCGTTTTTCTTATTAAGATTATGGTTTAGGGTCAAAGGGGATTTCGTTTATTTTGTATTTTCGGAAAGCCACCTCATGCCGAGCCCTGTGCAAAATACTGCAAGAATACATACTTTTCATCACACAGGTTACTTTATAGTCATCCGTGACTGAATAGGAACAATTTTAACCAAATAAAGAGAAGCAGGACTCAGAAAAAAAACATGCCCGACCTCTGCTTGTTTGCTGCTCTGACTTCACAAAACTTAGCGAAGGAGTTTTTTGATATAGCACTTAACCAGTGCTTGCGTAAGTGCATACTGCAAGAATAGTACAGAAAACTTAGCCCTTTCCAATGTAGCCTCAGGAGACGAATATGGTGTTTACTATCTTACAAAACAATGTCAACTCTAGTTCGACACGCTTTCGCAGTCTCTTCTTGAGTAAAGCAAGCCAATTCTTGGACTGTTTAGTTTTTACAGAACAACATTGTTGTAACAAGATTCTTGGTGGGGGACAAATCCACCAGACTTGTTGCATTGTTTGCCTAATTCTAGTATCGATGCTTGTTGGAGCTTACCTCTGAGTGGCCACCAGCAGCTAACGTCTTCTTGCAAGCCTCATTTTCGCAGCGAAGGCAGGGCCTGTGCCAGTCCTTACCGATGGATGTGACTCGTTCGGCTAGAAAAGAAGTTCAGAAATTGCACACATAGGAAACAGGCTAATCGCTTACCGAAATAGACGGGTTTGTCACAGCGAGGGCAGTTTGGCATCTCGTTTTATGCGTAAAACTAAAGCAGGTGTTTAGATGTGAATGACCAGCACGCAAAGAGAGCGAGAGCGAAATGAGAGTGCTTCGATTCGCACAACAGGAAACAAACAAACTATATGGAACATCTTGATTTTAAAAGGTGATGGATGATCTGGCACATTTTATTACATAATGAGAAGTCATTTACACACGCAAGAATAGGTGAGCGGTTAGAAAATGACATTCAAATGAAATTTGGTTTCATATTGGAAAAAAACATTCCATACATCGCAGATGTACAAATACAAAGCATCATGGTGGCAAACATTTTCCTCTAAATATGACAAACAACAGAAAAATGCAAGATGAGCTGAGATTTTTTGCGTTAAAATTTGTTGAAGTCGACAGGAACTAAGCTTTTAAGCTAGAATAGCACCCGCATTCAAGCCAAGGAAATGAAGCAGTGAAAGAATTGATCTGGCTTGGTTGGAATGGTGGAATATATGAGAAAAAAATCGAATTTCTATAAACGATTTTATACGTTTAGAACGCAATATCGCTATTCATCCTCAAAATCTTTTTCCGAATCGAAATTAATTGAAACATTATATATGAGACAAAGATTTGGAGTAATTCAAAAACGGGAAAGCTGGTCTCTATTAATTGTTCGCGGTTTCGTCTGTTTGATTCATTTTTGGCACATCATGAGTATATTGGAAATAAAATAAATAAAATAAAAAATCTATCGTTTCTTAGCAAATTTTTGACTAGAGATTCTCTTTGCGAATCTCATTCTCATGTGCTTGTGCTAAAAGCCATACTTTTGAGGACTGACAAGGAAAGGAAGGTTAGTTGAAGTGGCCTTTTGATGTGAGATAAACACTGCCTCTAAGGGCATGAAAGTCTGATTCCAAATCTACCTTCCTTATCTGCTGCGGGCTCTTGAGTGAGGAGTTACCAAGGTCTCTAACGGCAAAAATCTGCATGTGCAGTTAGGACAAAATTAGTCGTAACAATTTTCTTACGGCTCGAATAATCTTCCAATTACTCTTTACAATGGATATTCTCAAAGTATGAACATATCCACGCAACTGTGTAACTTTGGAACACTAGGAGAAGTTAACAACCGATTTTACATTGATCATGCATTGAATTTTTTGCCCATAAAAACTTTCAAAACTCCTTGCCCAGAAGTCCACAGCTGGAAAGAAAGATATATTTGGAATCATCGTTCCATACCCTTCAAGCAGAAAGGCCACTTCGATTAACCTTCCCTCCCTTGTGGGTTGATTGAGAGGCTAGTTGAATGCCGTTTTACTGTTCTACATGCTTCTTTCGACACAAGGTCACCGAGGTTCTACGAGCAATTTTGGGATTATATAGCAGTGTCCCATCAAAAGTGGCCTTACGAGTATTTCTTGGCAGTGGTGGCTGAAACGCACAATGTGTCAAAAAGTGCGTAAGCAATATGATTTTGGCCTTGAGCGCATAGATTCAGAACAACCAACTTCGCACTTGTACTTTGCCAAATTTTGCAAAATTCGAATGCAGTTTCACTTCCAAAACGAACATGCACATTAATTCATCTTGAAACAAAGAATTACTTCCACTTCGAGATGCACCTGATACATAGAAGTGCACTTCGCCGGATAAGAAATGGAAGCAACCTTTCCAAGGTCATTTGTAAATTAAAATAGTTGAACGACTATTTCAAAGTTTACAGAATGATACTAACTAGCGAATCGAACGAAGTTTATCTAACTTATACAGAGGTTGCTGTTTTGACAAGACTCGTACTCTGGTTAGCAATCATAATCAAAGGTGAGCACACATTACAACCAGCAAACTGAGCAAAACATATGAAGCAGTTTCGAAATAGCAAATGTTGCCCTCAACCTATACTACATTGGGTCTCTATGATTCGTTCCGAATTTTCAGAAGTGCATTACTTCAGAATCAGAAATCATAGCGTTAAGAGATTTACTTCTTTATTTTGGAATTAATGACTATGTAGGCTTGTTCTTCTCTATTTTGCAGGATCCCAAACGATTGACACTCGATTAGTTTGAATCCAAGAAGAGCCAGAATACAAATTATGCTAGAAGTACGCTGTTATAGCCGTGGTCACTGCTATTTTATATTGCGTAAATATTTGTGGTAGATAACAACCGAGATAACGCTATAGGACATATCAAGACTAGTGAGAACATTCACAGGCATTCTCCACATATTCATGAGACATTATAGAGAGATTGGATAGAGAGAAAGAGATTGATGGCAATCGACTGTTATTTGTCTACAGTACTACCAGTGCAATTCGCACTGGTAGCCCTGTTTAGTAACGCGGGATGTCAATGGAAGTGAATTTATATACATGAGAGTTTTGAACTTTCCGCAAAGGCCTACAAATGACAGTTTATGTAAATGCACTACATAACGACCTCCATTGGAAACTGCGCATGATCATGCGCAAGGGTTGTTTCACTGACAAGAGTGCGAACAAACTGAGAGAATGAGAAGAAGTGCGAAAGCAGGCTATATGTAGGTTAATGTTACAGCAGTCCAAGCTGATAAAAGTGAGAGATAATTCTTCGCAAACTCTCTGTCAAAGAGACTGGATAGTGCGTTGAAATTCAATTGCAAACTACCTTCGCAAAAGAATTAACAATTTACCATGAAGTTAAATAGGGAGTATTCCAAGGGTTTTTAAGATGCGCTGCAAACTTAAAGCAAAGGTCTTTGTTGTTTATATGTTGATTTCAATGCTTTCAGGGTCTTTAAACTTCAAAACATGGTGCCTTTACAGCACAAATCCAGTTTTTACTCCATAAGTTCAAAAATATGATGTCAGCGATTGAGTAAGTACAGGCCCCGTGAAAAGCCAAACAGCGATAGCAGTGAAAAGTGCCTAATATATCATAATAGAATCGATGATAACTATCATATTCTTACATTTCCGACAACTGCGCCTAAAGAACGACATAGTCGCTCTACGTCTATTTTTTGCGCGAGTTCCAAGGCAGTTGGAAGCATTCACAAGCATGATTGTTTTCGCGCAAATGTTGTAGTTACCGCAGTGGCACTGACAACTGCAAGATCCTGGACTCAACCGAAGCCCACAGAGAGTTCTGAACTGCAAGAGCTTTGAATTGCGAGAGGAAAAGGTACTATTAATAAAATCCAAAAATTGAAAATCACGGCTTTCATTGAAGATTCGCTCAAAGGGGTTACTCGACCTCCTGATCACAAAAATAATATCTATTTTGCATGGTGAGGCTTTTTCAAAGGGTTACGGTAGGCATAGGTATGGGGCAAAAATCTCAGAATTCGCTAAAACTTTGCGTAGGAGGTTATGCGACATGTTGACTACGGATATCATATTCATTAACCACGAAAACGCCTTATGGTGGCGTTATGGAAGGATTATTGTATGGGTCAGGATCTCAGAATTCGCTAAAACTTTGCGTAGGAGGTAATTCGACTTGCTGATCACAATTACCACACTTTTTCGGCACGAAAACCTTTCCCTGTACGTTTACGGTAGGTATATGGTAAGGGGTCAAAACCGTATATCTGCCTGAAACTTTGTGCAGGGTATCTGATGTGCTCATCACGAATACCGCACTCATTTCGCTTATAACGCGTTCTCGTGGATTTCTGGGATCTTGATTGGTCCGAAAAGCGAGGAAGATGCTACCCTAAGCGCCACAAGTTGCCATAACTCCACAACAAAGCGTTGCTATAGGGAGCAAGCCTGATATTCGTTATCAAAATGCCTGAAAACACCTCTAGGCAGCGTTTTAAGCAATTTTGAATTTTTACCCATGTACCGTGTACCTACCGTAACTCGAGAAAATGGCGCTACCGTACAAAGTCAATACGAATCCATGTTCAGCGTGCTAAATAACCCCTACAGACCAAATTTCAGCCAAATCTAGATTTTGACCTCCTACCGTGCACCTACTGTAGGCATACAGGGAGAAGTCCTCATGCGGAAAAAGTGTGATGCTCGTGATCAGTATGTCGAATAACCCCTACGCAAAGTTCAAGCGAATTCTGAGATTTTGACCCCATACTGTATGCCCACCGTAACCCCCTCAAAAAAACTCCACCACTCGAAATAGACATCATTTTGTAATCAGCAGGTCGAATAACTCCCCTGGGCGAGTTTTTAGCGAAATCCGTGATTTCCAATTTGTTGCATTAAGTGGAATAGCGCCGAAGAAATTGCGTAGTAAGATTTTTGGTCTTAGATTAAGATCAAAATGATTATAAATTTCAAAGTGTGCGGCTGCAAGTCACAAAAGTGAAAACCAGCTGCGGGCACTATGAACGACAGTCAAACGTGTAGAAGAGGTCTGAGCAAGAAAAACAATGCAGCTGTTAAGAATTTAAACTTTCTACAATCGCTGAAAAACAGACATCTACAAATCACCTTTGCAATTCCAAGCCTTCGTACGTAGCATAGAACGATGATTGAACCTTATAGAGCTGCAAAGAGATTGCTTCCTAATCAAGGCATGGAAATGAAAGCTTGACCTAATTGGATGATGAAAGCGTTTCGAAACTGTCACCACATCCTGAAAAAGTGGCATTTCATCACAGCCTGAGAGCAAAACGTTGCTATGACATGAGCTAGAGATACAAATACTCTTTACCCTAAGAAAGTTCTTTCACCTTGGAGCCAGAAAAAGGTGCGAAGTAAATGTTTATGATCCATGCCAAGGCAGAACGATCTCCTTTCTTAAGAACGACTCGTCACACGTCGTAAAGTTCTACCACAAAGCATGCCGTCTTGTTATCTGCGCGAATTATTGGAGGATGCCAGCCCCTCGAAAGGAAAACGCACAAAACAGAATAGCCCACAGTGAATGGCGCGCAAATCTCAGCGGAGAGGCGTTTTCCGTGCGCGATTTGAAAATCGCAAGAGAATCGGCTACATAAGCTGATTTGAATAAATGGGAATAAGTGAGAGCGCGTGAGTGAGTCGAGGAACCAGTCGGCTGGCTGAGTGGCGACGCCGAGCGGCCCTACTAATGGGCACTCTGCCAAAAACGGAAAGAGGCTCCGTTGACGTCCACAGATCACAGCGGATTGGCTAAATTCTCGGC